CAACAGATGGGCTAGATTTTAACGACATTTACTGTCGCCTATTAGCATATACATATTATAACTATTAGCAATACATCATCAAAAGTGAAACAAATTTGGCAGATATCACTTGTTGATTTATCAATCGACTAAAACGATCTGCTTACACGTTTACTCGATTTTGTGTGATCACACGTATCGATGGACAAAAAATGCAGGCACCTATATACGTTCTAACAAATAACTATTAAAAGGCTAGTACTGTAGAACTCTCGGAAGAAAGAAAGGCACAAGCAGTATATTCAAAATTCGGAGATAAATAAGTTCAGATAAATAAGTTTGACAGTGTTTAAGATTGTTCTGATAAAAAGAATAGTTTGAAAATAAGTCGTTTATTTATATTAAATATACATAAGACATACTTTATACAGAATCTTTAATTGTATTTTAATTAACCATTAAAAAAACTTGGTTATCTTTTTTAATTAAAAAAAATATATATAATAATATTAAATTATTATTACTGCATAAATTATAACTATTTATTTTTAAAACCGACTTGAAAAGTTTCCTTATCGGCTTTTTATTGGAATTACATCCCTTTGCCAAGTTTTATTGCAATCGGTTGACGAAAAGTGCGCGAAACCGAATTCACCCCCTAAATTCAACTCCACCCTTAGAGGTGGAATATTTTCTTCAAATTTAAATGGGATACGGAGGTACCCTCTTTTCAACAAAGAAAGAATTATCAAAATCAGGTCACAAACGTACACACACAAAAAGAAACATTCGAATTGAGAACCTCCTCCATTTTTGAAGTCGGTTAATAAAAGGCAAATGTGACTCTTACTTAATACTTGACTTATGATAGAATTAAAGGGTACAATTATAGTTAGTTGTGCCCTTCTATGTTATTTATGAAGTAATTATTGTAATTCAACTACAACACAAGGGCACATTTCCGACATTACTAAGTAAAATACTTTGATATTAGTCATCGAATATATAACCAGAAATAGAGACGAAATGTCATTTGATTTGTTTGAAAACTATTCTGCCAAATCATTACTGAGACAACTATTCTCCGATTGGCCAGCCCGAATTCGAGACAATGGACCGGTGTCGTCGATTGTTTCACTTCAAATCAACCTAAGTTGAAATTGAGCCTTGCTATAATAGACGAATATTGCAAAATTACATATTTAATATTTAATTACCGATGAAATGTGATTCCGGTTGTTTTGTAATTAGATGTTTTGCCGTTTCCCCCACATCAACGAATGGAACAGCCCCCATTGTTAGAGATATTATCTTTATTACAATAATTACAGAATATCTTTGGAATATACGGAGACGTGCACACAGGTCAGTCGCTGGCGTTGTACTATTTCAGTTTTCTAATTTGTGATTTCTGCGCAAACGAGAGTTGTGAGTTGCCAGGAATGGATGGCCTTATTTCGTCTCTATTTCTGGTTATGTACTTGACGATATTAGTGTCGAATATTTCACTATTTATGGTAGACAATGTGATTATTGATGTCAGTTGTCCGTTTTGAGTTTATGGTATATATAAAAATTATTAGATAGATTTTTATTAAAAAAAAAGTTTCAATTTTTCCTTTTTCCCGATCCCGATAATATACAAGGTTATTTTGTAAAACACTAACAACCTCGTATGACTCTATTGCTAACATTGTAAACATCAACTTCAGTTAAATGACTTAATAATTCATCACACTTTCCTTTCGTACAAAAATATTTAAATAGCCGCTCGAAACGGTGACAACTCTATGCAAAAAGCAGGACAAGGATGGGAGTCGTCCGAGAGGACCCTTGCACATTTGTACTTACCACCTTACTACCAAATACAGGCTAAAAAGTGTCAGATAGGACAAAAACACAAGTTAAAAACTTTATTTATGGTAAATTTGTTGTTTTGTCAAAAGTCGTGAAACAAAAGTTGTTGTTTATGATTCTAGCCATCTAGTCCAGCAAGGTTGTTAGTACTTTAAAAATAACCATATACAACTCATTTTGGTAAAAAATTTTTTTTTAATAATACCAAGTGACCGGACGAACAAGTCGTGCGCCTGGTGGTAAGCGACACGCCTGTCCATAACAGTTGCTGTGCCACTCAGAACTTTAAATCGCAAAGGTCTGAGGGGCACTGACACTGCGCCAGTCACCCTGAGGTATAAATTGACAAGTCACATGTGCCTGTAATTTTAATTTAGTTGTCCTTTTTTTATTCGGAGTGCAGTGTAATGGAATCAATATACACTGTGTAATACTATGATATGAAAAGGCTTTTCCCTGTAAAAAACCTATATCAGGTGTTCAAAAAATGACTTTTCTACAGTAAAACTTTCTTACACCCTGTAATAAACTGTCCAATCCTACAGCCTCGTACAATTAACTTGCAGCAAAAACCTCACTATGGTTTTTTCCGTAATGTAATCAAAAAACCTATTGTTCTTAAAGTGGGAGAGACTTGATATAAGAGGAACGGGAAGCAAGCCGCAAACAAGTGGACCACGGAGTAACAGGACTAACTCAACGACTCTTTATTTATACAAAATGCCCATAGCAGCCCTACAATTAGAGTCCAATTATCTTGTCGTTATTTTATAAATATTAATCAAAAACAGATTTTTCAATTACAAATTCAATTTTGTACAATATTTACTACTGCCTTTTTCACGTAGTCCTTTTTCATTAAATACAAAATATAAACACGGCACCTTAAAACACGTACTAATAAATCAATCTCAAGTTCAAAACCGATATTAAGTTCTCGCATAAATCAAATGTCTTCACTAATAAATATCACTTGAGTGCACGTCCATAATCATTGGTTACGCATCATTTGACAGTTGTCAAAATGTCCGCTTATTATTGCTTAATAATAACATCAAGTTCAATTTTATGATTACATTAAAATTTCGAACATCTCTAAAAAACAAATCAATTTGATTCGACTTCAAGTCTAATATAGGTCGAGATAAAATTTCATTCGAAATTAAATGTCAATAGAAAACAATTTTTACAAATTTCACACGTTACTTGATATCGAACGATATGATAGTTGGAGCCGACTCTAGTTTGTATATGAATTTAAAAAAACTACTATTATGCAATCGTTGCATAGTAAGATTCTTAAAAGTCCACTACCGTGTTTAGGCCACGAGACTTTGCCGAGTGACCTAAGTAATAGGCACGAGATTTTAAACTCGAATTGTGTAATAATTGCAAACAATACTTTTTCTACAAGTAAGTGAGAATAATGAAACGCAGCCAACATTTAATGAATATTTGTTAACAATCCACTACAACAAACTCAAACGAAAAACAAACAAATGCTACAAAACAAAAAACCATAGAAATGGAATAGAAGTGTCCATGATTGGCCAAGTACCGCTTATATTTTAACCAAGGCAGTAGAGGGTTTGAGTAGCGTCATATTTGATATATTAATTTTAAAAATACGTTCTTTTCTTGAAATTTTTCTGTTCAGTAGAGAGTACCATAGGCAATAGAGTTTTGGTTCAGAACTAAAAAGAGCGGCTTTGCTATATGGTTCATGAAATTATAATTGACAGAAAAGTACAGGAGTAGAAAAATACATTTTCTTACTAGAGAGCTCTAACCTTAGAATAGTAACGCATAGAATGATAGTTTCATATCAAACGAACTGTCACAAGTGAGGCAAAAATCAAATTCATGTAGGCTAGTTTTAGTAGTAGGTTAATTTTCGGTTTTAGTGAATATTTATATAAAAATACAAGTTGAAACGCGTTACTTCCTTGTGGAATGTGATGTTAGTATCTATTTTATGTTTGTCTGACGTATTTTTACACTCATTTACCGCACAATTCGTCATTTTTAGCTAAAATTCTTGATCTGTTCGCGGTGCAAGTTGACCTTGAGCACTGACGGCCCGCCCGCTCGTGTAGGCCCATTGGGAGCGCTTCAATTTGCCTCACTCAGCGTGTGCGGACTAGGTTTCTATGCGTTATTATTCTAAGGCTCTAACCTTATAATTGTACCATGATTATGGACGTGAAATATGTACTTGTCATTTCTCATACGTAGTAGTTAGTATTTTAGACTTTGGTTAGGTTAAAAAAGTACATTTCGGTGATTAATTATAAATAATTTGAGATGTGATTGTGTAACTATGTGTTTTGTTTGTTCAATTTATGTAGGCAAATTATTAGCTAGTAATGTTGATATTTTTTCAATTTTATTACTGAAAGCCATTCAACTCTTGGTCATTTGAGATGGTATTATATAAAATGCCTGTTGTTTGAAGTTGATTCAATTTAGCGTTACATCAGTTTTGTATGAAGTTAAAATTTAGTTGTAATTGGGCAAACTTTGTTGTGGCTATGTACATTAATTGAGGAATACATATAAAACTGTGTTTAAAAATAAATAATAGAAGATGTCGGTGACATCTCAATTTATACATACTAAATACCGGGACGCAGGAGCTGTTTAATACGGGTCTGAAAGTACCGTCATTTCTCAAATAGGCAATCGGACAATAATATGAAGAATATCTAATAGAATATCTAGTTCGAGAGAATATTTGTATAATAAAAACAATGATTAATTTTTTTTTGTAATGGTACCAAATAATGGGACGAACAAGTCGTGCGCCTGGTGATAAGCGACACGCCTGTCCATAACAACAACAAATATCTGTGGGGCACTAGCACCGTTAATACACTCTCGCTATTCTGATCTCTGTACTTTCTATCTTCCTTTTTCCAGTATACATATTACATGTAGGTGAAATAAAGTATGGACTTACTTTTAATTTAAATATTTTTATATTAAATTAATAAAAATATAATTAGCATTTTTATTTATTATATTAATATTATCTACCAGTGGCAGTTAATAAAATAAAATGGCAATGGAAATCAATTATTAAAATACAATTCGCCTTACTGTATTGGTTTCTGATACTTAGACAGTAACAGAATAACCAACCACGTGACAAGGATTTCGAACTTTGATTTTATTAGTTATAATAATTTAGGGGTAAAAGAGGACTGCAATAATTTCAATATATCAGGATAATAAAGAAAGTTTACCTTTTAATTTATTAAAATAGCGATCGTATTTCTTTACAAAATTTGAGTAGAAATTATAATATTTCAGCAAACAAATTCCATTACCAACTCTCTTTTCTTCGTTTCTTATCTTAAGTAGACTTGCAGCTGTGTCGCCAGCTGAAGCAGCACCTTGAGGCCGGGCAGGAAGGACGCCGCGGCGGCGAAGTCCGCGCCCGTGGCCAGGGACGTGGCGACCGCCAGAGCGCTGTCGTAGTCCCCGGCGCGCGAGTGCTGCACGCACGTGTGCAGCGTCGACAGCGCCGTCTCCGACAGCTGCCGGGGACACAGAGTCGCTAGCATCATTCGGTACCTCGAGGTCTCCTCAACAATGTGCATGAAATTCGAAACTAGCATAATATAGTACACCATTGCAGGGACCGGGAAGTATAGGATTGCCTGACGAGAGTGAGGCAACCCTTCTCTGTATTATACGAGTCAGGCAATCCCCGTTTTCGCCGAGGTATATACAGTGCTTTTCTCATATAATACAAAAAAAATTAAGATTAATGAATGTGACGATGTTTGACCACCATTATTATATTCAAATATTTTTGTGAAATTACTCCATTAGTTTGTTATAATTATTAATAAAATGATCGAAAAATTAGCGAAAATCCCTTCGATCCCTTTGATAAAAAAAACAAAGACTTGCAACAAGCTTAGTTGACATAGCGCCAGGCACAGTTTGCTGAAAAACGTTGGTTCGAATGCAGTCGGATCAAAGCATTTTTTTCTAAGTGTTTGTATTAAAAATTATAACAAAGAATTTTTAAAGTATATGGTGCAAGTATATTCGTGCTTCACGCGGTCTAGAGACACACGGTGTCCTTAAGGATTTTGTTATTATTAACAGTTATTTCGGTAAACATTTACATGCTCCCTTTGAATGAACAACTTTGTTTAAATTTGTTTTAATTTGATTAAATTTTAGACCACGTTTGAGACAAATAAGCAAAAACAGGTTCATCTCCTAAGTACCTCGTGTATGGACGAATGGTCCTTAGACTATTTTTTCCATCCTCTAAGGAATGGTCATAAAAAATTAAATGAATGTCAAATACGATTCATGAGGAAATGACGCGCAAATTGACATTTTGTATCACTTAAAAAGGGAATTTTTGTTAGTTCGACCTCCTCAGTCGCATTTTGTGCGATATTTAGGTTAAAAAAAATTTGAATAACTAAGCATTTCTTCACTTTGAAATTTTAGTATTTGACACCTCTCACACCTCCTCACCTCCACCATCCCTATCTACTAAAAAAAAAGATGTGTCCGTTAGCCGGCGCTACGCATTCCAAAATAGCGCTGTACCGTTAAACAAAGACACTTACCCTATATTCACGTAGCATATCGTACAAATTTTCTAATCTCTTTTGCACATCTTCTAGTTTTCTCTTCATTTGCTGCAAAAAGATTTACACGAAATTAGTGTTTTCAGTGTTACCACAACGAATAGACTTCAAGTAAAATCGGTGAGTTCGCTGGTGCAGGGAGTGGGGCAGGGCACTGACCGGGTTCGTGGCCCTGGCGGAGCAGTCGGCGCGCAGCGCGTCCAGCGTGGTCTGCAGCGCGACGTGGGGCTCGGGGATGGGCGCCTTCTGCACCGGCAAGGGCTCCGCCGGCGGCGGGCTGTCGGGCTGCGGACAGAGCCGTCGTTACTTCGTTACACTGCTTGCGACGCATTCGAGTCAACATTCACCCAGCAACGTTAATAGGGTCACACATTCATAGCCCCATAGCACCAGGGAAACCCTGTGTCGCGGGTGCCATGGACACACACACATAGACAACCAAAAATTACAGCCATACAAATATTTCTCCCGGCCCGAGAATCAAACCCGGGACCTCTTGCGTGAAAAGAATTCAATCCCGTAGCTTTTTCGCTCAGCATGTCTATACGGTGGTTGTTACAAAAAACACAACACACAAATCAAAAGTGCCAAGGGCTGAAGCACGTTTTTACTAATTACTGAAAATCAGGCTTTTTATTGATTTTTTTTAACACCAGTGACTTTTCTTTAGGTCAATTTCAATTTCAAATTCAAATTATAAAATTTACCAAAAAAATCTTTACTTCTGATTTCTTTCTTTCTGACGTTTTTTTTGCGACAACGACCGCACAAGTGATTACAAAAATTTGTCAAACAATAAATTTGTTTATTTTTTAGTCAAAATGAAAAAGAGCTAACGCAAAAACATCTCTTTCATCTGCCTGCCTCATTGTACCTGCTGTGGGTATCCCTGTGTCATAGTCTGCGGATAATGTTGATACTGCTGTTGTTGTTCCGAATACTGTTGTCCCGGATATTGTTGTTGTCCCGGATATTGTTGTTGACCTGGATATTGCTGTCCCGGATATTGCTGTTGATAGGACGCTGCGGAGTTCAGCGGGACATGCTGCGGTGGCTCCATGCCGAATAACGGATGCGTGATTGGCGCTTGAGCTTGCACTTCTGGTTTAGGCTGCAATTTATGCTACGTCACAATCTCAACACAAAACTTTGACGTACTATATGTACGTCAAAGTTTTGTGTATGTATATAGCATGTATACGCCTCATAAGGCAGTCCTCGCCCGCGACGTTACAGAGTCGCGGGAGATGACGATAGGTGCAATTTCAATTTATCTCTGTTCGCCACGCCACTTAGGTACCCCCAACAAGATATTATATTGTCTTGGTAAATAAATATTTGAATTTTCTTAATTTAGCAGTGACACGTGTTGACAGGTCGCAGTCACTTTGTCAGATATACACACGAGATTATATACCTGAGATAAGTAGATCTATCTTCGGACAAAAAAAATTGTAGTCAAGCCAAATTGCATTTAACATGTACGAATATAAAAGTATGAATCATTACTTTTTTTTATTACCTATCGTATTATTGAATTAAATATTTTCATCCAATTATACTACAAAACTGCTAAATGTTTGCTATTGATGCATTAGCACACAAATGTAACGTGTCGTTAGAACTGTCCTCAAATATTTTCACTTCATATGCATCGCTCTGCAACATGAGCCGTCTCTGTACGTCACGGGCGAGGAATTAGTTATATTATCTAGCTATGGATAACTAGCAATTTTCACAACAAAATGAATTAATGATAAATCATTATCATATTCGTATTTGTATGACGACAATGAAAATTCGTATATTGTAAAAAATACGTCATTTAAATCGAAAACCAACGGGGGCAACTCAAAACACACGGTTAATTTCGATCAAAACCAAAAATTTAATAATCAGTGTGGGCATGCAGTTTTTACACAAGTGAACCGACAAAGAACAAAGTCACACTTTGTGGTCAGGCCTTGACATCAAAACCACGACATTTTAACGTAAAACAAACAGACAAAATGATTAGTGCATAAATAAAGTCAGCACGGGTAACGTAATCCATCAAGTAATACACACACTCCACGCAATTTAATAGGAGTGTTCCAAAATCACACGAGTTATTATAATTGCTCACTAGAGGGCGTTTAGTGAGGTACCGCTGTCAATTGTTAAGACTAAGGTAAAGTACTTTTCTTACGCCTTCTCTATGGTCGCTAATTACTCTAGAACTAAATGCGGGCCTAACGCGTAACAACTGACAATGAAAAAATGGGTCGGTATCATGACCATATTATCAAAATGACCTGATCAGTGCCAATGTTGCCATTTAATTTACATTCCTACCACTGTTCAAGTCATATAATAGTAAAAATGTCGAAAATGAGCGGTTGTTGTGTGATGAGAGTACGGTTGCCTCTCAACAGATAGGCTGATGGTTCGAATCGCTGTGGCGACAAGCTTTTATGACTTTAATTTCTAATTTACGTACGACTCATGATTGTAATTTCTAATTTACGTACATTTGTTAATGTTTAATAGCAATATCAACACAATGTGTCCACGGCTATGATGTAGACAAAATGGCAACATAGTCGATGAAACACTACATTAGTTTGCTGTTTATGATAGTTGTACTACATTGTCAGAAGTGTGTACTAGGGGTGTTTTTAGTTTTCTACACGTCAGTTTTATTGATGAAGAGGACCGGTGAGTTGGCATTTTTTTTAATTAACACATTCTGCCTTGCACTAGGGAAACCCTGTAACTATTATTGCCCGGCAAGTGCCGTGGACATACACAAAGACAACCACAAATTACACCCAAACTCACGGGAGAAGTAAATGTTGGCCATACATATATTTCTCCCGACCCGGGAATCCAATCTTTGCGTGGCAGTCCAGCATGCGCCATTCGGCCACCGAGGCAGTTAATAAATAGGAAGAAGATATCAATATTCATGATTTTTTCGGCATATGGAAAATACAGACAATAACAAGTAGTCGATTAGTTATTACATTTAGTTATTTAGAACACCGTTAGTGCATTGCAGTGTATTTGTTACAATGAAAGATTTCTACAAATACGAAAAGGAAATTTTGGAAGGTAAATAAGTTTGAGAGGGGTCGGTCGGAAAGCAACGTCTGCCCTACGCACGCCCTCTAGCGGGAGCAAGAGAGCGTGTACCTCGCGGTGCCTCCTATGCTCAATGATGCAGCCCCAGCGCCGGGTGCCGGCGTGCAGCGCAGACATCTCGCCCCGCGCCGGCGCCGCGCCCTACGCACCGCTTTCAAGCTTAACAACTAACCGGGCGTCGTTCGGGTTCGAGAGCTGCCCTCGGTCAGATTAAAACGAGCGATCTTTACTTTCGTAATGAAGTTCGCTAAGAACCGTTCTACCTGTGTTTTGTCATTGCTGGCTTCGTGTACTTGGTTTCGCTCACCTTGGGCTTGGCGTTCGGCACGGGCGGGTCGTTCCAGCCGGGGGCCGCGGCCTTGGCGGCCGGTGGGGGTGCGGGGGCTTCTATCGGAGCCGCGGGGGTGTAGTACCCCCCGTTCATAGTCTGCTGAAACATTTTCAATATTTATAGAATTATGTAGCATAATAATCACGATTAAATTTTTAAGACCTCGGTGGCTTAACGGTTTACATTGTGGGTGCTGGATACGGATGTCCCGGGTTCGATTCTCGATAAGACCAGTTCAGAATAGAATAGACATTTAATGCAATGCAAGCAAAATAAAATAGAAAGAATTAATAACAAAAAAAATACAAAAACAAAAAAAAACAAAGTAAAATAGAACAGATAAAAAGCAATAAACAAAATACAAAATATAACAATTTGTACTGTCATTTGTGCGGTTGTGGCATACGCAAAAAGGCTTCAGCTTATGCCACAGCCATAAATTAGACTGTGGTTGTCAATGTGCCCTAAGCCGAAATGAGTGACGGAATTTGGGAAATAAACTTTTCTATATTGGTCTGAGTATTCTGAGAAGTGCCCAGTAATTCCGATGAGCTGGTATTCATAGTACAAGGAATTAAATGGAGACCAGACAATATCTGTGGTTGTCTGGCACATAATTTAGTAGCAGAAAAGCTCCTTGTGAAAGAGTTCGTCTAGGGAAGTACTGCCATCTTACCTTTTTCTGCCGTCAAGCAGTAACGTAAGTATTACCGGTTTTAAGGATAAAGGTTTTGCTGATGAAATTACAGGCACATGGGACTTCTCAATTCATGTCTCTGGGTGATGGGCGCAATGGCAATGCCCCAGAGCTCTTTGCGATTTAAAGCTCTGAGCTCATCAGGCTCACTTCAGACAAGACCCATTGGTGTGCGATCGGGTTGGTAGGCGCAAATCCACTTTTAAGCACGGTCGCTGACTTTATTGAAATGACATACCTGGTTAATAGGTGCTGGGTTAACAGGGTTCAGCGGGTTCATAGACGCAGAGTTAAGCGGATTGATGGGCGCAAATCCACTGTTGGGTACGCTGGCTGAGCTATACTGGTCAGGCAAGGGGCTGTTGTACCCTCCCGCTAAGCCGTAGGGCAACGGTTGCTGGTTGCCGAAGTTGTATTGGTTGTAGAGAGGCGCCGATTGCACCGACGGGTCTACTTTGTATTTCGACCTGCTCGTTATGCCACCTGCAAATAATTAAGGTTATTTTAGATTTATGTATGACAGTAAAAGTAGCAATTTTTAACGCGATCGTGGCAGAATACTTGCGTCGTGGGAAACTGCGGTATTTATGCTGAGCCAGTGCCTTTTCACTGCCATGACTTCCAAAACTATTTACTTTAATAAATTACCCTTTTTTTTTTAAAAAAAAAAATTTTTTTTTATCCATTTATCTATCAATTTTTGTATAGTCTCAAAATTTACCAATAAACGGATGACCCGAGAATACGTTTCCTTACTGTACAGGGGCAGAAAGAGCCTTATTCTATTGTTTCTGAAGCACACTCAGTAATCGCCCAGGGAAGTAATGCCAGCTTACTTATTTCTGTCGCCAAGCAGTAACATCAGCATTACTGCGTTCCGGTTCAGAACGGCAATGGTGCAGGTCAAATTACGGGCACATTTGACTTGTCAACTCACATCTCAGGGTGACAGGCACAGTGGCACTGCCCCTCAGATCTTTACCATTTAAAGCTCTGTGTGGCACTGTAACTATCATGGACAGGCGTGTAGTTTACCATCAGGCGCACGACTTGTTCGTCCCGTCACTTGATTTTAAAAAATAGGCGAACTCTGAGCGAGAACTAAGTGGTGCCGGGACATCAGAGAGTGTGGGCTTAAATGTAACCTGCGAAGGGTCTGGTAGAGGAAGGAGCCTCACCGCTGGCGGGGCCCACGCTGCCGGGGCGCGGCGGCGGCGTGTGCGAGGCGGGGGGCGGCGGCAGGAAGGGCGCGGGGGGCGGCGCCGCCACCGACGCCTGCTGCCACGCCGGCAGGGGCTCGTACGCCGGGGCCACTGCGGGACACGGGTCACTGCTCCACTCTTTTGCTCTTATACTGGAGCTTGTGGTCAGGGTCTACTGTGCCCTGCTCTTCAATTTACATCGTCGCTAGTGACCGCGTCAGGTCTGTCAATCTTGTAAGGCACACTGTACAGGTCGTCTAGCGACCGCGGGGAAAAATAAAATGGTCTACTCGAATAGTGCGACAGCATGCATGGTCGCTAGCGACAATCGACTGTTATCTCATGGTAGAGGCATTGTTTACTAATTAGGGCACACAAAAACGGCTGTCAAAACCGCATGTAAATACTATTCGAATTTTAATAAGAAAATGATTAAATGTAAAAAGTAACAATTTCGGCAACATGAGAACGATTAAAAAAAACCTGTGAAATTGGTTTAATTTAAGATACATGGTCCAGTCAAATATATATCAATTTTGGTGCTGCTAAATATGACCAAATTTTATTTTTAATATGAACAAAGATATATATATACTTTATTATTATAAAATCCAGTTTTATATTATAGCCAGCTTTTCAAATTTTGGCACTTCATTGTTGAAGATATTTTTAGAGTATTTTTATTATATATACCTCCATATATGGACATGAATGTTTTAAATGTTTCCATCACTAGATCTCACGTAGTTCATAATTTGCAATGCAAATAATAATAATAATATAATAATAATATAATATTGATACACGACGCATTATTTATAATGTGAACTGAATTGTAAAGCTCTAGCGCGCACTCCAAAACGAATCCGATAGGAAAGCTTTGATTCCAGTGAAGAGTCATTGGCGAGAAGTTCCTTCCACGGAACTCGTAGTCGACAAGGAGCTAAGCGCCCACTCACCCGCGCCGTAGGCGGAAGCGTCCCCGTGCGCGAGTCCGTGGCCGCGCTTCTGCGAGTGTGCACTGACGGTCCGCGAGCGGCCCCCGAACTGCGGCGCCGGCTGCTGCAACACCAAGCTCGCTGCTCAATACATTGCACACGACTAACCGACGTGCAACTGCCCTTGCAATTTCTTAGTATTCTCTGCTCTTCAATGGCGAGTTGATGGCATACATACACATTTAATTTGAAGACTAAATTGCTGCTAAACGAGGTAGAAATGAATGAAAAAAAACATGAAAAACATTTCCATTCTAGTTTGAATAAGGCAACATCAACCCTTAGTGATTAAATGAATAAATGCCATCACGCCCATATCATCGACACTGTATTGAAGCTAGATTTTAGCAAAATAACCAATAATTGCAATTATAACCTCAATACTCGACCCAAGCAAAATGAATCGTATTAGTACGGGAAACATTTAAAATGTTATCGACTAATTTTATTCAAAGTATCTTTAAATATTTCCCGAAGAGTTGTAATTTTGCTGGTGCGGCCATCTTGCACCAAGGGTGCGATACACGAGTAAGTTACTGACGTGACTGGTCCGGCGCTGCTGCTGCACCAGCCCCAGCGCGTGCTGCAGCCGGTCCCGCAGGTCGGAGGGCGGTGAGCCCTCCAGGGTGTTGAGCGCGCTCTGCAGGCAGCCCTGCGCGGCCAGGCGAGACGCGTACGCGTTCAGCACGGCCTCGACGCCGCTCAGGGACTGTGGAACATCGGTGTACTATACAATATCCAGTTTTATCACTGACTCGATATGTACTTATTTCTAAATGTACTTGCAGTCAGCATTAACTGTTTGTATTGACAGTGGAAATCAATCTTGTAACTTTCATTTTTATTGAAAACGATCATTGCAGAAAACGATAACAATGTTTAACAAAAGATTTTGCAAATGAGGAAAATTCAGAGCTTTTCATGCTCCGATTTAAATTAATTAAGGCGGTGGCCAGTGACCAATGTGCACCATTGTTCGACATCTCTTTTTAAATACATATTTTGTGGATTTAGGACAAAATTATCATAGTAACTAGTATTGGTGAGTATTGATTAGTGGATTTTTGGTATTACTAATAATTATGTTCTAATAGTAATTGTAATAGTTTTTTTATGAAATATACTACAGCATAATTTTTCTTGAGGGTTTGATACACCATTATTGACAGAAGTTTCAAAACAAAAAAAAGTATTTTAAATTTTTAAAATGTCGATCGTTGGTGCCATCACGCTAATATAATATAAAAGTGCGTATAGATCTGGCGAATGCGCCGGCAACGCGAAGAAATCGCACAGTACATTGCTCGTGTATTCGTGCAACGAGCGTCTGCGGTCAGACCGAAGAGAGTACTGTACCCTAGAGACGTAGCTTAGGATGCGTAGCGAGAGGCACTTTATAAACATAAACTGGGATTAACTTCACAACTTGATATTTATTACATTGCTTACATGTTTACTTCGTGAGGCTACTCTTAGACCTATCAAGACGCTCTTCTCTTCCAACCCACCTGCAAGTGGCGTCCCCTGGCGGCGGCGGCGCGGCGCGCCAGCAGCGCCAGCTCGGCCCGACGCGCCAGCTCGGCCGCGTCGTCGCGCCGCGCCCGCCAGCGCGCCAGCAGCGCCTCGGGGCTCATGGCGCACAGGTAGCACACGGTGGCCGCCTCGCCCAGCGCGGGGTCGCCCTCCGCGGCCAGCCGGTCGCCCAGCATTTCTGGAACCGTCCCCGCTCTGAAGGGCCGCTTGTGGATCCCCACTTCTCTCTTATTTCGACACGCGAACGGACACTTCGATTGTTATTCATAATGTATTCTTGTCGAAATTTATTCGATGTAATCGCAACGGGGTCGCCTCGCCTGTGGAACTAACCTGTAGCCGTGCACAAAACTCCCAGGCGCGACATCGTGCTTGCGATGTATATAAATGTTAAGAGCAGAGGAAAAATTCCTAATCTTCGATTTGATTTTAGAGGGGTATATCCACTTTAAAGTTAAAAATAAAATATTGTATGAGTAACTACACGATATATTCAAGCATAGACATTAATCAGAAACATAAAACAATAAAGTTTCCTCGATAGATAAAAATCACGAAATGACCTCTAATTTTCACATTTGAAATGCTACAGGTTATTAGGACAAAAATTAGATAATTAATTATATTTATGCACGACCGACAACTATCACTACGGATTTTTTAAATCCCCTTAGTTTTAGAGTTATTCCGCTAAAACGAATTTGGTACTTTTAATGCGCAAAATTCAACATCTCCTGTCGCATGTCACGCGAACTTCAGGCATATATTTGTTTCACAAATTTGGGCGGAGCCAACGTCATTGGCATGAGAACTCTTAAAGCATAATGTCAATTTAACATAAACTTATTTATAATATTATTTTTGGGAATCTTGTCATGTTGCTCTCTATACATGTGATATCAAATAAACATTATTATTATTATGGATATCTATTTTAAACTCGTATTAGACATCCCTCCGCTATGAAGATCGCCTACCTTGCAGTTACCCCATTCTGATAGAAAATATCCACAAGTTGCACGAGACGCCTACGCTGAGGAACGTGACTCGAACCAGTACCATTGCCAAATCAAGCCCATCAAACATTTATTCCGTAATCTAGCATCAATTAGGATACTAGCATAAATAGTCCATAAATCCACATTGTTAATTAAATTCTTCATAATTACATTACTTTCAAATCATTTCGATTTATTTTCAAATGTCCGACAGAAGCCCACGTAATTCCCATTATTATTATTATTATTTTGAATACCAATTTCATTTAATAGCATTGTGTGAACACGCATCCCGAGTCGCTCTAATTTGGATTGCCGTTTAGTAAAAAAACTTATTGCAATACAGGCTGTAGCGTAGATAAACGTTGAGTATTTCGTACTTTTCAGTGGATCGACTTAATGGCTTGGCTTTGTGAAATGGCCCGTCAATTAGCCCGTGTAAAAGGGCCATGATCGATGATAATGAAACCGAGTCACCTATAAACGTTGTCAATTGAATTGAATTGTCGTATCTACCGTCAGCTAGACTCACCGATGTAGTGCGCCGCGGCCTCGTGGTCGCAGTGCGTGATGAGCGCGGCCAGCGCGTCCCGCCAGCTGCGCGGCGCCACGGCGGCCACCAGCGCGTCCCAGCGCGACTGCAGCAGGCTGCCGGCCACCAGGCTCACGGCGTCGGAAGCCGTCGCGTTCAGGTGGAACCGCTGCACCTTGTACAGCAGCTCCTGGCTGCCTGCGCACACACGTACCTCAGCCAACATTGCACCTACCCCTGGTACTCAGCCGTACACGGACCTCACGATCTTGGCCCGTTAAATGCTTTTTCTGGATTCTAGTTTTCAATTACATCTTCACTCGTCAGGTCGTTTTTTTAACGCGCGCACTCATGGCCCCGCACTAAGAAAATCCCGAATCGCAGGTGCCATGGACACATACATAAACAACCACTTTTCGGCCACGGAGTTAAACTGTTTTTAAACTGGAGATAGTTAATAAAATGCCGACTGCCGACTCGTTATTTACTAATTCAACATAGTGAATTCCGCATAAAGATCTCTAAGTTACAATTAAGTGTCAGTGCGTAAAAGTATTTAAACTATTGGACTACACAAATGGCACGTGCGTTATCGAAACTGTTCACTCTTTTGTCCTGTACTCTAAAAATTAAGCGATAAAACGAATCGATGCAAATAATATTTCGCCAACTATACTAGTACACCACAACATAATCGATGACTACAATTGCACTTCTTATAATAAAAATATTATCTGGCCCTTTGTCCCCGAACTTTGTTATAGTACCAGCTGTCACGTGTAATGATAATTATTATTATAATCATTTCTATTTCATCCAATTGTTTAAGAAAATATACAGTTTAACAGTTAACTTTACACGAGTTTTGTATAATAAAAAAAATCCCTCATACACTCGTGGCTGTATACCAACTAAAAAGCTTTCTTCTTTCTCCTTGTATTGTGATGGTTACTTTTAAAGGATTTGACAATGCAAAGATAACCGTAAATTAAATCAAAAATAATCGATGAGAAAACTAAACAAAAGTTGGTATGGACCCAGTGTGATTTATATGACTTTTCAACGAAAATGAACTTAAGTGTGATTTGTCACTGATTTCCCACTAAAATTAACTATAGTCTGTCTTTTTTGAAGACGGAGTAAAATGGCAGATCATTGCGCAAAAGTGTTGCCCAATTACAAGCATCTACTGATTGCAGTCGATAAATATTCCATCGACTATCGACTCAATGTTGGTTACGCTTATGCAATAATAAGCCGAATTTGATTCATTTGAACCATCACCGTCCCGTTATTCGTCCAACTGCCGAACACAGGTTCACGTGAATTGTCAATCTTTGTAAGTTCACACATACGTACACTGCATTTAGAACTATGCCTATTAAAAGTACAAAGACGAGACATATTTTAAAGTTTCATCATTTTATTTCAATATAAATAATCAAATCTGCTTGTAAAAATGTATATGAATAAAAATTTATTTCGATACTAGTAGGACAACTGTCAAAATGAGAATTAAGAAGGCAATAACGCAATTAATTCAGACATTTTTGGCAAAGTTGTATCTTCTTTCACAATCCGTCTATAAACGCCTATCGCGAACAACTACGTCACTGTTTAAAATTCTATGTAAACTGGCAACCCTGCAAATGTCATTTTACTTCGTTTTCAAAAAAGACAGATTATAGACTCCTCATCAGGTTCTGATCTGAAGCCATGCTATGTGACAAATCCATAAAAAACATGCGGCTACACGTGGTGGCTCACCTTACAAAGTAAATTACTACCTGAACCCAATTTTACAAAAATCAAACCTGTGTTGACCTTACGTTAAAAATTTAACCATGGCGTGCGAAAAACGCGATTGCCTTTTGTATAATTATATATAAAAATTATGTCCAAGTGCGGTTGCGCAGCGCATCCGTTCTCATCTCATCTCGTATTCGTTCCGAACCAGAGATTATACAAATCAAGAAAACTCGTACCCACTTAGGACGTCTCTTGTACACCTAGAGATAAAATGATCCTTTGATATTTCGAACCGTCATTTCTCAGATTGTTGATTGTGTAGTGCACATATGCGACTCTAACATGATAGATCAACATTTGGTCCAACGTTGGCAATAGATTGATTTGGGGTGAACCACCCTGAAATGCCATTAAATGTGAATTCGGAAATGGCCAAAGCCATGGGAACCGCTATGCGTTTAGAGTAAATGTTATATTATGGACTTACCTAACGAAGCAATAATAAGTGCATCAGCAATTCGCTTAGCGTCCAAACAGAGTTCCACGGCCTCTTCTAAGTTACCGCATACTAACGCACGGCATATTAAGCTTGTTGTATCTGAAAATAAAGTTTACATTACTGAGCCACAAATAAAAACATCATCAACAACACGGTAGTAGATGCGGGTAGGGGACTTCGCAAATTTATCCAAGAATTGTGAACTATCTTGAATGTGCAGTTTCACTGTTAGCAAGAGGTAAATCACCACATGTTCGCGCTCTGCACTATTTTAATGCGCTTCTCGTATCTGCACTAGACTGCGACGTGTTTAGAAGCAGTAGAGCTCTTTGTGAAAGAGCTCGTCCAGGTAACTACTGCCACCTTACCTATTTCTGCCGCCAAGCAATAATTTGAGCATTACAGTGCTTCGGTTTTGAATGGTAAGAGTGCTGGTGCAATTACAGGCACATAGGAGTTGTCACCTTATGTCTCAGGCTGACGGGCGCAGTGGGAGTGCCCCTCAGATCTTTACGATTTAAAGCTCTGAGTGGCACAACTATTGTGGGCAGGTGTATCGCCGGCCGTTACCGCCAGGTCCACAACTTGCTCGTCGCGTCACTTCGTATAAAAACATAGTTATGAATTTCATAGTGCCTTGCTAATTTACTGTAATACTGTGTAATTAAATAAATTAAAGTATTACTACCAAACACTCACATTTGTACAGTCAACAGCACATCAAGCTACACACCTTTGTTCGACTATCGACTCCAGTGAAACGGAACAAGACCTGTTAATGTGTAGCTCTATGTGCTGCTGTCAGTACGTAACTTACAAACGAATGTACAGACGGCTGCACATCAATCTTCTGATTTTATTCCGTTACACTGGAGGCGATATTCGAACAAAATTGTAAAGCTTGATATGCTTTTGACTGTAAATGCCTTCACAGGGATTCATAAAAATCACATAAAGACAAAAATCATGCAAAGGTTGTGTATTCCTGGAACGTTGACTATAGAATACAAAATCTTAACAGAAGCATCAGTTTTTGTTTTAAAACAAAAAAAAAAGTTTTGATAATATTATGGTTCTAGATGCACACAATTTAAGATCAATATAAAAAAATAATTAGCATTTGCATGATTTTTAAAATATTTTCTTTTTTTTGTAATAGCATCAGCTATGTTTACTATTTTGATCTCGAATACCATAGCAGAGTATACGATTCTTACCTTCACCGTTTGGAATGACGACATTAGAAACCGAGGGACTCAAGTCTAGATTGGCTAATTTTCTCTCGATTAAGGTATGTGCGTCCTGCAAATTAAAAAAAATAAGCTCCTTACAACATTTTAAAACAGTTTTTTTAATCACCTCATAGACAGGAAGAGCATTTGCCGTAAAATTACATATCAGAATATGATAGTATGGGGCACCACGACTAGCTATACAGATCTCAAAAACCAATCACTTACATTGAACGTAAGCACTACGAAAACAAAGACAAACAAATACAGGTACACAAAGAAAAGTATCACATTTAAAATGTCACATTTTTGTCTGTGGTACTATTGTAATAGAGTTTGTGAACAGGTTAATTGTTACTATTTTTATGATCTTTTTTTTTATTAGAAACAACGTCAATAGAGAACTAGTGATCATAAAACTTTTTCTGCAGACAACAGATCACACAGTAAAGGAAAACAAACGTAAGAATTGATTACAAATGACACGATAATATGTTATAATTTTATAAAAAGTTTCCGTTGAATGTTTGTTACCCCTGTTTTTTTTTTGAGTTTTTTATAGTTTTAAGTTTATTATATAAATTAAATATGTAAAAATAGAAAGATTCATTTAATCTTTAGTGAATACTACAAGTAAAACAAACATAAAAAAATAAATATTAGACATCACATAACGTCGCTTTGATCCCAAAGTAAATAACTAAAGCACTTGTGTTATGGAAATCGGAAACCACAACGGTACCTTTGAGTACCCAGACACAAGACAATATAGAAAAGTTTTTGTACATTAACCCGGCCGGGGATCGAACCCGGGACCTCAGCGATGGCGACACCATGAAAACCGGTGTGCAAGCCACTCGACCACGTGAGTCGTCATAAATTTAGTGAGTACGTTTGAGAATTTTATTTTACGGTATGTATTAAATTTCTTTGCTTGCAAAATGGCAGAACGAAAGGGCGCACGATAAAAGACCCAAAATTTTCTTCTGTCTAATACTAAAAAAGTACACTTCATGCCAAAAACTAAAAGAAGGTAGAGGTTATTTCATTATTTGCGTTTTTTACCGCCGGCTTGATATTTATATCTACCCGGTTAATAAATTGACAGACGCGGGCTGACATACTGAATTCGTGTTTTAGCCCATTACGTCAATTGCTGTGAACGATGCAGCCAGTTCAGTCGAAGAAACTAGTTTAATTTCATTATCATAGTTTAATTACTAAGATATTTTAAACTGAGTCGTGAGGTGAATTTTAGTAATTTTATTATTCGAAGAATATAAATGTTATTAGCAATGTGAAAAGATTGATCAAACCACTTCAAAGTTAACAAGCGTTAGATTACATTATGCCATGTTTACATCAGCTTGGTGTTTTAGTAGGGTGAACTCACCGATAGGTCAGTGCTTGTGTCAGTGGAGAGCTCCGCTTCTGTCTCGGTGGACTCGCCCTGACGTGTGCAGCGAACAGATTCAATAGTGTTAAACATTTGATAAGGTCGTTTATACTCCTGATTAAGTGTTAGTTGTTTATATACAAACGTAACAGTAAGGTTTGAGGTCCAAACGCATTTGCGCTACGAGATCTTACACTGCGGAAACTCACTATAGGCGATATTTAAACCAATTTGCTCGATATGTCAAATTTTATGTAACCAAAGTGTTCAGTTTTTTACTCATTATGCTCAAGGTGTAAGAACGACTGAGTGCTACAGCCAGCTGTAAACAGTTTACTGTTTAAAAAATATAACCTAACCTATGGTTAAAAAAACTGATCTCAAAAGTCATTCATCCCCTAGTTTGCCACCCTTAGAGGTGGAATATTTTCTTGAAATTTAAATGAGACGACGTCTGAGGTACCTTCTATTCAACAAAAAAAGAATATTCAAAATTGGTTCACAAATGGCAAAGTAACTGCGTAACATACATACAAAAAAAAACATATAGACGAATCGAGAACCTCCTCCTTTTTTTGAAGTCGGTTAAAAATAGAACCGCGCCCGAGTCCTCTCTGATCAAATGCCGATGTCCGAGTGCCCTCGGACCACGTGTTAACACGCTACGAGTAGTCATGCGAATGGACTCAATCCGAAAGTACTCGTGTAATGAAAACCCAGCGTTTTTTACTTATTTCATGACATTGACTGAAGTGGATAATTAACTAAAAAAAATCCCGCGCATATTGTTTCACAGTATATTGTATTGCTCCATACAAACCGCAATTCCCTGACAATTCGCTCAGCGCGTTTTGCTCCACACAAACTCATAGAATGAGCTGCGGTGAAGGTTCAAAATCTCTCACTAGATGTCACTAGCGGTTCAAAAAGTCTTTAACAAAAACACATAGGAGAATTTCAACCACTCAATAATATGACTTCTAGCTCAGTTAGTAAGTCAATTTTGTTAATTCGTGAAGTGCTATATCACAAATGCGTTTGAACCTTTAGATTAAATGTAGCTGGCCACCTATAAAAGCTGTGTTATCAAAAATATTTTCGTTACATTAATAAAAACAAACTATGTAAAGTAGTAGGTGTTGGGCGTAGCAGAAAAAACATAAAGGTAGAGCGAATGGTGTAGAAATAAGATCCTTACGCAATATAGTGTAAATGTTAAAGACAGAAGAACGAACAGTCTAGTAAAAGAACGTTGTGGTGAGTGATGTAGTGAACAAGATCGAAAGGATTGTGACGTAATAATAGATAATTATAATATGGACTGCACAAATTTATTCACCGAAAATAGAATGAGACATGAGGACAAACTTCGACGTACATATCTCGATCAGATTGGGGATGACCTTTAAAAGGTCAGGTTTTTAAGTACAGTTGATGCCCTAGGATACCTGACACTAACCGTCTATTGGGTTGTGAGTAGATCAGTGTTAAGAAAGGTATTAAGGCGAGGTATTTCAACTCGAGACTAGATTTTAGGAGGTGAGATGTGGGGGGAAGCCTCTCGCGTCAATTAATATGAATAAAATAAAAACAGACGGAGAAAATTTTGACACTGATCCGACGTCGACAAGCGCCCAATGGCGAATGACGGGACTGCGGACGGCACAGCGTATCGTTAAACAGCTGGGCAATTTGCATATTTTGATATATATATGTGAATTTATTAATAACTATAGGGCTTCAGTTAAAAACCAAAATTTTGCAGGTTGCCTGTTGCACTTTAGAGAAATATCTCCATATAAAAATTATGTACAAAGTTAGACACTTTATTCTTAAACTATTCGTTTTAGACATTTGCTTTAGCCTGTTTTCAGGATTTTATAGTAGAGTTTAAAGTATATCCTATCGTGTAACACATTCTTTAGACAATATCCTTAAGATATACCTAGTCGTGTATTTTTTATAATACCGTTATTTAATAGTAAATACCTAAACCATTTTTTTTTTTTTTTTTTTATATATAATATATAATATATAACGCACACACTCAACATAGCCCCGCACTAGGGAAACCCTGATCTAACAAAACAGTGTTCCCCGCGTCTTCTCCAGTGATTCGCCTTAAACAAACTTAAGTTTAACCTGTGAGCCATAAAATTAATTTTGGTATGACTTTCTTATTGCATCATTAATGGTGACGTTTCAAGAAACTTTTAAGCTAATTTGATCTTTAATCACATTACATAAAAACCAAAAAGCTGGAATTACTCTACACTTTTCTGTTGGATGCGTAAGCAGGCTCTCAGTACCAAAAGGTCAGAGGGTCAGGTATATTAGGGCATCGAGTGTACCAAGAAGAAACGAACATAAACTAATAGACTTATGAAGGTGGAGGGGGCGAAAGAGGTTTATCAAGGTGTCTACTTCCGTTCACCATCCGACATTAAACCGAAACAATTACTGTCAAATAATAATACTCGACCAAATGAAAAGAAGCATGATGCGTATGAAGCTTCATACTTGACATTGTTTTTTGATTCTGTCGAGTATTACCAATTTGAGAGTATTTGTTTCGGACAGGGAACGGGAGTAGACGTAGCAGGTGGAGGTTCATGATCTTGGCTGGTTGTATGTAAAAATAAATATTCCATTAGGATCATAGTCTACAGCTAATAAAATCTGTTGTGTTGTTAAATATAGGTTATAATACAAAAAGTTAATCTTTGTTATAGATTGTTGTACTCACCCTGCTGAGTCCAGCGGATTCAGAGTGCGCAGCAGTCGCGTCGCCGACGGCTGTCGGACCTCTGAAACGCGACGGGATCTCGTCTTGTTTGAAACCTATTACGGAATGATTGCTATTATTACCAAGCGCTACTAAAGAACGAAAAAGCTTTATTTAAAAAAAATAAAACACGAGAAACAAAACAAAAGTAAAAATGTAAAGCGAAAGACAAACAAAGATTTCTTTCTTTTATTCCAGTTCAATGTCGTCTTTTAAACGTAGATAAAGAAACCTATAGACTTCACCATACCTTCGGTTACACTCACACAAGAAAGAGAAACCCTAATTAGAAGTAGATGACAAGAAACGAGACAGCACATTATCATTTTTTGTATCTCTACGCGTGTCGGCATTTCCGTGGATTAATATAATGACATTTCCTTTGAGTGATCATTGTTGTCTTATAATTTAATGCTATAATAATCAATTACTATTTAACCAATTTCAAAAAGGGATGGGAAAAACCCGGCTTATCTATTCCACAAACATTTGAGACCGCTTTAGTTTTTTATAAAGAAGTATAATCATTTACGTTAACAATTAACTTCAAATTGACTGACTTATTAAATCCACTTGCGCACGCCCATGTTCAATATCCTTAAAAAACAAGTTTAGTCTGGTGAAGTGCGTGTTAGTAAAAGTGTAATATACCTTGAATATGTTTGTATGGCGATAGGCTGACGATGACGATGATAATGATGTTTGTATGCTTATTGTTGGTCCGGACGTAGCGAAACTATACTTATTTTGTTATATGTCAACTTCTATATAACCTGTGTTTTTATCATTGACTTACAAATAAATGGACGACGGGTCTAATACAAAAACCACGAAAAAAATGTCCCAAGTCAACCTATTTAAATGTAGTGACATGTAAAGGAATATGAAAAAGCTAAAAAGTTGAATTTAAATTGTAATGTCATCGCAGTACTGTCTAATTTTGCTTGCTTCGCTGTCAGTCGAACAAACGAAGACTAAAGCGTGAATGACGCTCTGTATACGATTTTAACGCCCTATAAGTTCGGACACTTTTTAGCGCGGACCCGACGTCCATATAATTGTAAGTCAATGACATTTTGCATAGGTCAATGACATTTCGTGAAATTTTAAACTCACCTATTCAGGCATAAAAAGTTATTGACCAATTTCGATTTTTCTTATAATATCAAATGACGGGACGAACAAGTCGTGCGCCTGATGGTAAGCTAAGCAAAAGCTAAACCTGTCCATAACAGTTGCAGTGCCACTCGGAGCTTTTAATCGCAAAGATCTGAGGTGCACTGCCACTGCGCCCGTCGCCCTGAGACATAACTTATTTTATTATTTTTTTTATTACAAAAAATAAGTGCGCTTTTGACCTCCATCTCACCTGATGGAAAGTGACGATGTAGCATGCATTCCGAAACGACGAAGACTAAAGCGTGAATGACGCTCTGTATACGATTTTAACGCCCTATCCGTTCCACCAAGTACCAAGTAAGTTCGGACACTTTTTAGCGCGGACCCGACGTCCATATAATTGTAAGTCAATGGGTTTTCATACATAAATGAGTTATGAATTATGAAAAATAACAAAGGTATTATTGAAAAATCAAATATTGACCCCTCCTACGTAAAGTATCGTATGTCGAAATTGCCAAGTTTACAAGGGAGCGTTCTAAATAAATTGTGGTTAAAAAATAAATTGTGGTTGTTCATGTAACCGATATGAAGGATTTTATAATGCTCTATGTGAGTAACGAGCTATGCCGAATAAAACTGAGAAATGCTAAAGTCACGTGTTATACTCATTTCAGAGAATTCAAAACTTTAGAACGCTCCCTTGTAAACTTGGCAATTTCGACATACGATACTCTACGTAGGAGGGTCGATATGCGCGATATAGATTGAAAAAATTGTTTCATTTCCAATGTGTAGCAACCACCATCATCAACCCATTTATACGTCCAACTACTGGGAACGGGTCTCCTCTCAAGGGTTAAATTAGGTCATAGTCCGTCACGCAGATCCAATGCGGATTGAGGACTTCACACGTTTTCCGAGGGTTGTGAAACTTCTTCGACATGCAGATTTCATCACGACATTTTCCTTCACCGAAATGCTCTTGGTAAATTTCAAATTAACTTTCGCACATAAATTCCGAAAAATTTAAGTGGTGCGAAACCGGATTCGAACCCACGACCCTCTGCTTGAGAGGCAGCAGGTCAAACCATTAGGCTACCACGGCTACCAAACGATGCAGTGATCGCAAGAACCTAAACAAACTCTATATATTTACATTGTACAATCAACAAAGAACTTTGAACCTATGAAAATTATGACCAAGTGACAGTTTTCTACCGATTTATGTGCTACGTCCTTGTACGTGGGGCGCACTATAAGTTTCCGGAATGAATAAGAAAAAAATGCTATAAATGGTCAGAAATTAAGTTATTGTTTCTCAAAATATTCTCCGTTAGCGTTAATGCACTTATTTATACGAATGAACCAATTTTGAAAACATTTATGCTACTCCTCCGTGACAATCTCTGAAACGTATTTTTCATACTCTTCGACAGCCTCCTCAGGTGATGAAAATCGTTGACCGCGTAATTGGTTCTTAATTTTTGGAAATAAATAAAAGTCACAAGGTGCCAGGTCGGGACTGTACGCGGGATGGCTCATAAGGTCAACGTTGTTCACCTTCGAAAATTCATTCGTCTCTCTGGCCGTATGAGAACTGGCATTATCGTGGTGCACGATAATACGGCAGTTACGGTTGTTTTTACGGAGTTTGTCAATAACTTCCGGCAAAAAAATGGTCATGTACCAATCACTATTCACGGTACAACGATTCTCCAAAGCAACAGTAGCCACATGTCCAGTTTTATTAAAAAAAGAAGCAATCATCCGCTTAGAGGCACTTTGCACGCGCGCCACTTTGGTTCTTCAACGCCAAAAGCAGTTTGAAGCCAAGCGAAGCTCCGCTGAGCTGCTGAATTACACTTAAAGTCCTAGAAAATCATACTACGAAAATTTTTACAAGTTAAATCCATGGTGATGTAGACAACCAATTTCTAAAATGACGCCACAATGTAAAAACAAGTGACAGTCAGATGAAACAAACTGTATTCTACAGCCAAAGAGTTCCATTTTCAAATGTTGTAATTACTTTTTAAACATTGTTTATGTAAGTGGCCACTTATAGTGCGCCCTATGTAATAAAACACAATGTAATCTTACCTAACAGATTGAGGACTTCGCTACGGAAGGTCGGCATGAAGTTAGCGCGCAAGAAAAACCACATGTAGCGCTCGTTTTGATCTGACGACGCGTCGCCTTTCTGGCGGCAGTATCTGCAAGGTACACGTCACGAAGGCTATTAATTTCATTTCTTCTGAACTTATAAAACATTTCAAAACTACGTAGTCGTTAAAGGTCTAAAACATCGCCTGTTTGATATAGAGGGCGCTAGGGACGTCACCAGACCCACGGAAAGAAAAAAGCACTGGAAATGCCTTAAGCCTGAATTACTATTAGAACCGCTGCCGCCAAAATTCAAACATTAAAGTAAATAAATTAATTAATTAATAATTTGAAAGATTATGAAATCTCGATAATGATTGGTCGTAGTCTCAAATTTAAAAAGAAATAACAAATTCTGGACTGTTAATACAATTTAAACGTTACCCTGTTGGCATATCGAATTTACGTTCTGATTTTATATTTAAATATGTGCAGCCATGTGGCGGTTAATAGCTGAACGAAATTCGATATATTTATTTACTTCTCCAAAAAATAAGCGACCATATTGAAGCGGTGTATATAACTTACTTTCGTTTCTTGTAAGAAAGAAATTATTCCTATAAACAGAATATTGAAAACTTATTAAAATAAATAAAATAAGACTTAATGACGACACGAAACGACACCCTAGACAATATTACAAGTGCCACTATCATTTTTGCACTCCAAAGTAGCGAAATGGGACAGTTATCTACGATTTTTGAGGTTTTGTGACACAAAATTGACACGAACATAACGTACTGACTGAGCTCAAGTTTGCGGAACTACGCGAACTGTTGGTACGCGTACCACGCAAACTAAGCACTTCTACTGCAATTTTATTATTCTGTGACAACAGTTATACTTTCCTACAGCCATGGACCTCAAGACGACTGCCAATCGCGATATAGTATTTGGTACCTATATAGGTACACCAGATGTCCCGACGAGTACCAAATAGCTATTTTTGTAACTGTTTTACATTGAAAAGATGCAATTTATTGAAGCTACTCTAATTTCTAATGATAGCAAACAAATGAACTAGATGGCGCTTATTGCGCAGATTTTTTTATGGATAGTGCTAGTCGGCCTACCTTAGTAGTGGCCTATTCAAATTTGAAGAAAATATTCCGCTTCTAAGGGTGGCAACCCTCTAAGGGTTTTTTTTTAGTACTCTGCAACTCAAAAGGACTTCTAACCGCGATGCAAGACAGCGTAGTCTAGTATTTGGTACCTATATTGGTACACCAGATGTCGCGATTAGTACCAAATTGTTATTTTTATTTGTTCTACATTGACAAGTTTTAATTCATCAAAGCTTAGAGTAGCTTATTATTCCGGGTGATAACAATCAAATCAGCTAGATGGCGCTTATTGCACACTTTTAGTGCTGGCTATTCTTTTATTTTATTTAAGAATAGCACCATCAACCTATATTTGGAAGCTTTAATTTATAAATTAGTTTGTAACATACAATGACATCCATCTATTAACACGCATATTTGTCAAAGTTTTGAAAATAATTTGAGCTCATGATCAATGTGATGTTACGTTAAAAAAAATCAAGACAAAATATGAAAGGCCATATAGCTCCTACAAAGTTTTTGTAGGAGCTATAGTTTTATTTTTTTGAGTGTCTAGGTGAAATACGTGCGATAGTAGTTGAGAGTGGTGTCTTGGCGACTTTAACGCGCATAGACGGTTTGGTAAAGAATTGCAAAATTTGTGTGCGGAGCATGAATTCAGGTGCCTGGACTGGGAATTTTTGGGAATAGACTTGGACACTTACACTTTTCAGAGCGACATAGATGGAACTAGAAGCGGGCTAGACAATTGTTTAGTATCGGATGCCGCTCGGAGCTCAGTTGTGAATATTAGTATTAATTATCAAGTATGTTGGTCGGATCACTATCCCTTAGAAGTAAGTTGTAATCTGCATATTCTTAAACCGAAAATTAGTGCATTACCTAGTCAAAAAAGGAAAGTTATCTGTTATCTGAGTAAGTTTTTGTTTGTATTACTAACCAATATGGATGTATAACATTCGAAATAAATAGTTTGAATTTGAATCAATATTTGACTAATCGACCCCTCCTACGTAAAGTATCGTATGTCGAAATTGCCAAGTTTACAGGAGAGCGTTTTAAAGTTCTGAATTCACTGAAATAGTGATCACCATAGATCATCTAACCGATATCTAGGATTTTATAATACTCTATGTGAGTAATGAGCTTTGCCGAAAAAAACTGAGAAATGCTAAAGTCACGTGTTATGTTCGTTTCAGTGAATTCAGAACATTAAAACGCTTCCCTGTAAACTTGGCAATTTCGACATACGATACTTTACGTCGGAGGGGTCGTAATATGACAAGGAAAATAAACTTATTTCTTATACTTCATATTAAAGAAGAATTAATTGATAAACTACTCCCAGGCTATCGATCAGCGCAATTTAGATATAAGACGGAATGTTGACCTTTTTCAGAGCTACAATTTGTATTATGGAGATAAGCAGTCCTCTCGAGCTATTTGTCCATGCTACAAGTAATAAAAAACAGAATCTAACGTAGAAACACTAGATTATTTGCAGATTAGTGCAGAAGTGTATTACTCACTCGGCTAGTCGTTCTGTCGCGCTGGGGTCTTGACTGAGACTTGAACTCAGGACTGCGTCCAACTCCGTCGCTTTTTCTATAATCTCCGGTTCGCTCACTACCTGTTAGAGAGTCACCACGCTTATTAACGCGGGATCGCATCGAGCCAGTCAGAGAACTCTTTACGTCTACGCATTAAGAGCGGAAAAGACGTACGTCTTTTTCGTTTTTATTACATAGACCTTTGGACAGGCTCAACGCGACTCCGCGTCAATAAGTGCGGCGACTCTCCCATTATTGAATGTAATAAACAAAACCATACAGTGCGTATCAAAAAGGCTCGACAGTGGCGCTACACCTCTAAAACTGCCGAATAACCAAAGCCGCACCTGACTGATGTAGACGAGCCTCCTCGCGCCGGGCTCCGGGCTGCACTTTTCGAAGGTGACCAGCTTGCCGCCGAACTGAAAAGCGAGCGGGCCGTGAGTGGCGGGCGGGCGACGCCAAGCGCGAGGGCGGGCAGAGGCTACGGACAGCGAAGCGCGCGGAGCGGCGGCCGGGCAGCCAGCGCGGCGCGCGCGGCAGCTGCTGCGCAGGCGCGGCGGCGGCGGGCGGCGCGCGCGCCACGGCCGGCAGCGCGCTGAACGAGTCCAGGCCGCCGAACGAGTCCATGATGTTGCTCTGGCTGTGCGTGCTCTGCGGACCGGACGGCGGATGGCACGTCAGCACTCGTCGGTCGCGAGCACCGAGTACATGACCAGAAATAGAGGCGAAACAAATGCCATAACACATTAGCGATACAAATCTTATAAATATCAACTCCCGTTTGCACTGAAGTACAGACAGGCCAACTACTAACCTGTGCGTCCGTCTCCGTGTATTACAAAAAATATTCTGTATTTACTGTAATAAACATAATATCTCTAACAGTACCGAGCTGTTCTATTCGGTGGTGTGGGAAAAACAGCAAAACATCTAATTACAAAACAAACGGAATCAAGTTTCATCGGTAATCAAATATTAAATATGTAATTTTGCAATTTTCGTCCATTATAGCAAAGCTCAAGTTAACTGGTCGATTGGAAGTGAAACAGTTGACGACACCCAGCAATTGCTTCGAACTCGGGCTGGCCGATCGGAGCGCAGTTATCACAGTAATGATATGGCAGAATAGTTTTCAAACAAATTAAAAGACATTTCGTCGCTATTTCTAGTTATATGCTCGATGGTCGCAAGTAAAAGAAGTATGAAACTCGCGTATCGGCTCGTTTCATAAACCCGCACTCGTGTTTTCACACCTTTCATTACGTAACAGTCACATAACAAAATATGTGATATTTCATACATGAATTAGAATTGTTTTCTAACATAACCTATAAAAGCATATTTAAAATTTCCGAAATCTAATTTTAAATCCTCCTTCAAGTCCTTGCACTTAGATATTCGTTCGATTGTGATTAAATTTTCGCTTCACTAATCGATCACAAAAACTTTAATTGAATTAACCGAAAAAGTTATTTCCGTACAGCCCCATGCAACCATAGACTATTCACAAGTCTGTATTTGAAAACTAACTTCACTTCTGAACTGGCATCTTTCAAATAAAATTTTAATACGTTAAGCAAATGAATATTACTGTAAAAAATGATGAGATATCAAGTCCAAATCTTCAAAATATACGTGAAAGTGTTACTTATTCCATCTATTGAGTGATTACTTTAGAATTTTAACCAAACCGGTTTGTTTACTTTTCTGGTATAAACGATTGGAACAGACTTTACACTTCATTGTTATCGAGTGACTGATGTAGAATTGAATAGAAAATATACCGTATACATAAAAATTGCTTAAGTGTAGGGCAAAACAGGAACTGACCGTCTCTGGCTTCGATCCGCCGAAGAGCGAGTACACCGACACCAGCTGGTCGAAGGACGACGTGGCCAGCAGGGCGGGGTTGCGCGGGCACCACGCCACGTCGAACACCCACTGCTGCTGCTGGCTCAGCTCCGCCAGCAGCTCGCCGCCCTGGACACGGCACGGACGGTCCAACCTCAACATGTCTTCACTTCAGAGATGAAGTCATTCCACTCAAGACCGGCACATTGATTCAACATTTCTGCCCTTCAACAGGCTGCCAAGTGATTGACTGCATGTATGCAGTCAATCAATGCAACCGAGACCTCGACAACATGAAGTTGATAACGACTTCACGCACACATTGCATGCAATCGAAACCGATTTCATGCAGCCGAGATCGACTGCAAGCAGTTATTATTGTATGAATGTCAAATCTGTTGAAATATAAAAAGTCATGGAACAAAAGTTGTTGTTTATGATGTTAGTAATTAGGACCTGCGAGCTTGTTAGTACTTTAAAATCATCCCTGTATAGAGTACCACTGCTGGGCACAGGCTGCGGCTGTAGTTCCCATACAGGCCCAATGCTGATTGGAAATTGCACACACAGCGTTTGTCTTCGCCGAAGAGATTGGTAAATGACATATGAAATTTCGCATATAAATCCTGAAAAACTCAAATGTTCATGCCCCGATACGAACCCACGACCTTGAGAGGCGGTTGGTCAAATCATTAGGCTTTTTCTACTCATTCGTAAAACATGTTCTCAGAGAAAAGTGAGTTAAAAACTCTAGAGGTTGCTCTTCTACATAGCCAAATGGCTATGTGAATAAATGTTCACATTTAACACTTACAATATAACGTAAAAATATAGTTAGAAGCAACCCATCAGTGCGAAACGGATCACTGTTACTGTGATTTTCATCATTTACCTGTATTGAACACGCTTATAAATAAGAAAAAAAAGCTTCTAAGAGCCAGAATGATTTCCCCCATTTAATAAAGAACTTTCAAAAAGACAACAAGACAAAGAGCCATCAAGGCAGAGGACATTCTTTTTTTTATAATATCAAGTGAAGGGACGAACGAGTCGTGCGCCTGGTGGTAAGCTATACACACACGCCTATCCATAACAGCTGCAGTGCCACTCAAGAGCTTTAAATCGCAAATTACACCCAAACTTAGGAGACAAATAAATGTAGACTAAACAATTGTTACTCTCGGCCCAGAAATGTAACCCGAGACCTATGCGTGGCGATCCAGTATGGTGTATGTTCGGCCACAGAGGTAGTTTGCTTATTTCAATTGAAATAGTATAAAACAGACATGGATAAAAATGTCCTCTGCCTTCCCTACCTCTGGCCCTAAAACGATAACGTAAGAATCTTTATAGTTGTAAAAGTTAATAGGGGGGGGCTGACCGGTTTGGTGTTGTTCGGGTTCCAGCAGAGCACGCGGCCGTCCTTGCCGGCGGACAGCAGCAGGTCCGGGTCCTGTTTGCACCAAGACAGCGCCAGCGCGCCTTTCTGGTGCCCTTCGAGGGTTACTAGGGGAGACGCGGCCAGTCTGAAGTGTCAACATTTCATTATTTGCATATACTTTTAATTTTTATAACAAGTCGTGCGTCTGGTGGTAAGTGACACGCCTGTCCATAACAGTTGCAATGCCACTCAAGAGCTTTAAATAGCTTTAAATTAATCTTAGGGGCACTGCTACTGCATCTATATAACGGTACCTTACTTTCTCAAATTCGTATCCTATAAAGAGTGATTATTCAAGAGATGGCAAACTTTGTATTTATTTTAAATAGATACGAGCTCGAGAAAGTAAGGCGGCGATAAGTTGTCAAGTCCCATGTGCCTGTAATTTGACCAGCACCCTCACCCTTCTGGACCGGAACGCAGTGACGCTGAGACCACTGCTTGGCGGCAGAAGCAGGTAAGGAGTTCCCCTGCCACTAAGTCCGACTGACCTCAAGTCCCAGAGCTGCAGCACGGGCACCTGGTCGTCCTCCGAGGCGACGCACAGCTGCGTGGCCACGGCCGGGTGCCACGCCAGCGCCCGCCAGCGCGTGCGCGACTGCGAGTCGCTGCGGGCAGGCGAAGCAGACACAGTCGCAACACATTCGGACGCTATTACCGTGCGACACGACCACGGCATGATACGAGGGTACAAGTTAAGATTATTAATTGGCTGTAAGAAATTTCATTACGTAATGAATAATATACATTACCAATTTAGATACCTAAGACACAAGTAAACAATTTTGCTTAGTTTAGGTATCACCTAGATTATTTGCACTACTAACCTTAATTAAAGTAATGTAAACATAAAATAATTTCATTGTTTGCGACAATTTGGCGCATATATGTAAATAATAGGTTATTTAATAAGATTTATGTATGTATTTAGGTTAATATTTTATACAGAAATAAATTTATCTTTATCTTTATAATGAAACATCCACTTATGTGCCAAAAATTGCAATATTAACTTCCTAAAGCGAGGCAATGAGACTGCGAAGATATCCGTTTCGAGAGGTAGAGCATTGACGAGCTTGGCAAATCGAGCAAACGGAGAATTTGAACCGAGAATATAATATATTACACTATGTACACTACAACAAATTGAATTTAAGACAGGAATGCGTAATTTGATTTCATTGAATAAAAACCGATACTAAAAGAAAGATCATAAGTTAACGACCTAAATAACAACATTAGGCTTCGCTAATAGCTATTAAAATACAATTAAGATATATAACAGATTTCATTTAAAAAAATCTAACCTAAAAAAAAGTCGCCCTGTATCGTACCTGGCTCAAAAGTTTCTGCTATACTGCCGGCGTCGCTATGGACACCTGTAAGGCTATTGCCACGCCGCCAGTGTAGCAGGAACTATACTGCACGTATTATGTGTTAGTTTACAATTAGAATAAGATCTTGTATTACTTAAGTACATTTTCAAATAAAGAAATATGAAATCAAAAATCAATCAATCAGTCTAAATTATTTATACAATCTACGAGGACTTTTTAATGAAAATGTAATGTTTTACCTTAATTTCATAATAGGTTCGTTTTTCCTCAAATCCCAGACAACACATCGCGTCGCAAATGTGGACCCAAGAATGTGTTGCACCTGTAACGACACACAACTTAATTATGAAATCCATCAAAGAAAAATGGCCATCATTATACTCCCTACAAACTATTTTTACTACACAAAATAACAGGACGTACAAGTCATGCACATCAACACAATGATGATGTTATAATATGTCTTTTTAATAGTGAAGGCAAATAGCCTTGCTGACATTGGTCTTGTTCTAAGCCTAGCAAGCAACACTGTCCACAACGTCAGAGATCGCCTCACATTGCCAACACTGATGCAAACTTGTCAGCAGTGTGGACTTGAAATAAATTAGTTTGTAGCAGCAAACTAGAGCTCCTTGTGAAAGGGTTCGTCCAGGGAAGTACTGCCACCTTACCTATTTACGAAGCAATAATTTAAGCATTACTGCGTTCCGGTTCTGAAGGGTAAGGATGCTGGTGAAATCACAGACACATGGGTCTTGTGAACTTATGTCTCAGGGTGACGGGTGCAGTGGCAGTGCCCCTCAGTTCTTTGCGATTTGAGGCTCTCAGTGGAGTTTTTCTGCATTGCGAAAACTTGTAGAAACAAGATTATATAAATAGAGTATGGAAGCATTTCTTAGACAAAGACTAATGCCAGATTCAACAGATACCGAATTGGTACAATTTTTACCTGCTGATTCCACGCGAGTCCCTGTACATGATCATATGGCTGGTTCCTGGTGCCAGGTGCCATAGGCTGTGAGGTTTTGTGCAGATCCCAGATGAAGATCTCGCTGTCGGATGCGCCGGAAGCGATCAGGTTTTTCTGGTAAGGGTTCACGTCTAAAGCTGATACGTGACCTGATGAACACATGATTACAATAAGAAAAGAAATACCTGTTTTATTTATTTATTTTAAATAGAAAACCACCGCGAGGCTCAGACATATTAACTAAAAATAACTGATAATGTATTTAAGTCGAATTTTTGCTCAACATGTTTCGAACCAATTCGTGGTCCAGTAGAATTTACTAAATTTACATGCTTTCAAGAAGTATAAGTTTTAATTTTTTTCTTCAATGTGATTTTGAACAACTGCATTGAATACAAAATTTTTCTTTTACTAGAAATAAACATCATTTTGTTTTTATTAAATTAAAAGATAGTTTTATAACTTTATTTTATTTAGCAGTTTCGTTAAACTTCACGCACTTCAAAAAAAGGAGGGGTTCTCAATCCAACCGTATTTTTTTTTGAGACAAAGACCAGTATGTTGTTAAAATTTCAATAAACAGTTTTGTTGCTTCCACTGTTAAAAGTAAGGCCTTTTACGTTTTAATATCAAAATTTTATACAACTTATAGTAGAAGCCTCTATTAGCTATCAGCGTAAAAATGGTACCCCATTTTTACCCATATTCAATTTATTTTCTACAATATTATAATTATTCTATATTTGGATGCTATTTTTGTTTATAAAAAATGTTCAATTATATTTATTGTAGAAAGAAATAAATTTGGGTTATACCACTTTTGCGCTAATAGCGTTGTCTATAAAAGTATAGACAGATTAAAGGGGTCATTAAACGCTTTATTACGGCGTGCTTTTGCGTTTAAAATAACATATATCATTATAAAGAACATTATTGAATCATTCTTGAAAACATATTCCAATAAACCCATTGTTATACATATCTCTTTACAGACACGCACCTGTTCAAATAAATATTACAATTTTATCATACTAATTAACTGTGAAATTTAAAACATTTTGTTGAATCAGCACTAATAATTATTCAGTCTGATGTAAATGACAATTGATGGATAATAATAGAACTGAACTATTTATGTGGCTGAACGATCACCTTGCAGAGGTCCCGGTACAATTTCTGGCCTGGGAGAAATATTTGTATGACCTACATTTATTTCTCTTCTAAGTTTGTCCATATATGTGTGTCCATGGCTCCCGCGATACAGGGATTTCCTAGTGCGGGGCTATCAGTGCGAGCTTTATTTGTTATTATAATAATAATGTGAGTTTCCAAAGTAGTAATCACACCAGTCACCTGGCCTCGAACAAGGGAATTCTGTATGAGTACCAGAACAAAGCAATTAACTTCAGGGCAATACCCTCAGACCATAGTCTGTCTGTAGATAGTGGAGTACATCAGGCTAAAAGCAAACACACCCTGAGGGTCTAGCGGTTGGAGTCCCGGTACAACGTAAATTTTAATTCGTTTGTGGTGAGAGCGCCGACCGGACATCTATCGACCTTCATGAAGGAGAGTTTTGGTCGAAGGGTGTCATATATCGGCGATTCCGCGGCCGGTTACCTGACACCAGATTGCGCCACATGTCGCCGACAAGTGCAATACGTGTAGATTAGTTAAGTTTATTTTGTCATATTATATTGTATGTATGTTAGTCCATAAGGTATATTATATTATATGGGGCATGTGGCCTGAAATAAATGTCTAAATAAAAAAATATAAAAAATTCTAGAAAGTATTCTTGACTCATTCTTCAACATTATTCTATGTGAAGTGTTGTATGCAATACCGTACAAGTGCAAGTGATACTAATGTCGAATTTCGCGTGTCGCTATGATAACAACCGTATGAGATCTGTCAACTATGTGCAACTAATAGTCATAATGCAATCTTATTATTTTACTACCATTGTTTCATCTTCTTATCTCAACAAACATTACAAACTCACCGCTGTGTTTAGTAATTCCTCCCAGCAAGGCATCTCCAGTGTTATTGAGCAATTTGTCAACACCATAGAACTGAATGAGACCGCCATCACAGCCTCCAACCAATATGCCAGCCGGTGACCATACAATTTTCTGAAATCTAAGTAATCATATACAATATTGTAATGAATTTCTACAAGTAATTACTAAAATACAGACCATAAAATGCAATACAATGGTTACACTGTGAGCGCTAGATGAAGAGGCCCTGGATTCGATTCCCAGTTAGGCTAATTTGAAAATTAAGATTCCTAGATTGGTTCTGGTCATTCTGTGATATACTCCAGAGAGAATTCTGTTGTTCTAATACTGAAGCACAGGAAACCCCTTAGTTTAAGACAAGTTATTTGGTATAGTCTTTAGCACTTTATTTTAAAAAATCTTCGATTTTTGACATGGCGCATGTGACAAAAACTCAAAACCAAGAAAATGCTTAAAGAAATGAAATTGAAAAATGTTTACTTTTTTGCAGTAATTTCTACCTTAGCCACCTAGGAATAAATAGTGACAGATTGGCCTTTTTCACTTATCATAACAGTACACACAACAAAATTTTGGAAAAATGTCATAATTGCGCCCTTTCAGCGAATGCCGGCAGTATTAATAATAATAATAACAAACACTCAACATAGCCCCGTACTAGGGAAACCTTGTATCGCAGGTGCCATGGACACACACACACACACACACACACACACACATAGACAACCACAGATTAAACCCAAACTCATGCAAGAAACCATTGTAGGTCATACAAATATATGTCCTGGCCCAGGTATCGAACCCTAAACCTCTGCATGGCATGCAGGATGGTAACCATTTGGCCACAGAGGCACCATGCGTTCTAATTTTCTTTGATGATTGTAAGAGACATGCCTGTTAATTACAGTTGCAGTGCCACTCAGAGCTTTAAATTGCAAATATCAGAGGGACACTGCCACTGCACCTGTCATCCTGCAACAGAAGTTACAATTTAGCTCACATTACTACCAGAAATGGGTAGTGGCAGTACTTCCCCCCACAGTCTTTCACAGGGAACTCTACTGCTACCTATTACATCATTTTAATATACAAAGCAGCAACTTCTTTTTAGGTACCACTAAATTCTCTATTGCACACAATATTATGTATACATTTTTCTTTTTATATTATATTATTTTAATTGCAATCGCCCACCAAGCCATAAGCAAATCTTTTGAAAGATATTGGACATTTTTGGTAACCACCCCACTATAGAACAAGGTCTTGCTTAAGCTGCTTGACCATTGTTGATGGCTCTAGAAGTTCTGCGACAAGTGGGTTCGGGTGACAACTTAGTTTTATGTTGGTAGATCTCAGCAGCTACTAATAACATGTTTAGGTAATCATGGATCTCCTCATTCTGAGTGAACCTTGGGGCATTGACTATTGCCCTCAGGATACAATTCTGCACTTGTTGGAGACAAAGTACATCTTGGTCCTTGGTGCAACGGGCTGGTGTCCGCAACTCGACGTCAAGGCGCCTATTTTGCGTGTGACAAAGTACATCACTCTTACTAGCTACACCCCACAGCTGAATACCGTATGTCCAAAGAAATTTGTTGTCTACTGATACTGCTGAATACCTTCCCATGAGCCAATGTAGGTTACAATATTTGAGATTGACTACATATCTTTTCTGTTTGTTATAATAATATTATGTCTACATGTCTTAACTTTATATGTCTTTCAGACATCAGTTTTACAACTTAAGTTTAGCAGGCACATATAAATATGATGTAATACAAAGTAAATAACAATAAAAATACAATAATTGAATATATAAAAAATTTAATTATAACTTAGTTCACGATCCTTACAATTATTATAATATTGTTCCTTTAGTATCACACTATAATAGTATACAATGATCACTAGTTACTCTACCTGGAAGCCATTATTTTTAGTATTAAGAGAAAAAAGATTACATTATTTCCTTATATATATTCGAAAAAAGTTTAAAACTCACTTGTGCTGTGTCTGTAGGCTAGCTTTGAGTTCTAAATCATATCCAGGGTCTTCTAAATTCAGAGAATAGAGCTCTAGATGCGAACTTGAGTTAAAAGAAGCGTCGATCTGCTGTGCGGCGGAACCGGCCGCCAAATACACAGGATACTGCTCTGCTGGCGACCACGCCACATTCACCGTCCGCTTCAATTCCTTCACCCTCATCTTCACGTGATAATTTCACTACAACACCCGAAAAACACTTCAAATATGCACAAAATGCAATTTATTTACTCAATTATGTCACAAGTTTACAAAGCAACATTTCAATATAACTACAAAAGTAATAAAAACCCTAGCAACATCAAAAGGTAAATAGGGCTTAGATGAATAATTTTTATGTGAAATTTACGCAAGTCTTACAAAATTTTCTAAAATTTTACCATAAAAACACCGAGCTGGCAGTTCCAACGTGGCTGACGTAAATATTTCCAATTTGACAAATGTCGTTCGAGAATTTTGATAGGTATCGTTCAGAAAGTCATTCGGATACAAGATTCAGTACAAGTACAGTACGTATGCATAAATACTTGTTTTCTAACTTTGGTTGAATTTGTAGCATTAAGAACCGAAATTGTGATAATTTCATTTATTTTTTCAATACAT